TTGAACTGCTACCATTGTATTTCCTGCAATGAATGCATCAACAATACTATTATTATCGTTTTCTTGTGAATCTTGAATTTTATAATTTATTAAATCCTTTAATACTTCATCCATATCTTCACTTTCTTCAACTTCAATACCTTCCTATAAATTTAGGGAAAGAGGGAAAATTATTAGTAAAATATAGAAGAAAAAAATGATATTAAATTATTTTTAATACTTTACACCCCATAATTGACCATTTATTTCAATGTATGGATATCTTGGAATTTTTTTAGAATGTTCTTTAATTCTTCTTTGAATTTCAAAATTATTTGCAATGTCAAATATTGAAATTAATGAATGTGGAATATTTTTCTTTAAAAAAAATTTTGCTAGTTTTTTTTGTAAATCAATACCTTTTGTTGTTGTTTTATTATGATCGACATAAATTTTAATTCCCTTTTTTAATAAATAATAATAATAAAAATAATTAATATTGTTTTTATTTTAAATAGAATTTTAAAAAAAAAAAAAGAAAAAAAAAAAAAAAAAAAAAAAAAAAAAATTACAAATGTATCATATAATTCAACCATTTTTTTTTTGTTTTAATTTGGTATGGATATTTAAAAATTGTTTATCTGTTTAATTTATTAGTATAGTTTTTTAAATAGAATAATAAAAAAATAATAAAATAAAAAAAATTTTGAAAAAAAATGAAAAGAAAAAAAAAATAAAATAAAATAAAATAAAAATAAAAAGTTTTATTTTATTGGGAATATATTTAAAAAATTAAAATAAAATTTTAATTAAATTATAATAAATTATAATTTAGTATTAAAGAGAAAAAAAAAAAAAAAAAAAAAAAAAAAATATTAAAAATAAAATTGAGATTGGTATTAATACTTATATAAATATTTTTATCAAAGTGTTTATTTGTTATTTGATTACATACCCCCTTTATTATAATAATATAAAAATTAATAATAATATAAGGTTTTAATACTATTTATATAAAAAGGAAAAATTAAATTGAAAAAAAAATTTAAAAAAAAAAATTAAAAAAAATTAAAAAAAAATAAAAAAATAAAAAATAAAAGAATAATTACAAATTTTTTTGTATACATTTAAATTTACCACACCTTTTTACTCGCTCGACTCTTAAAATTTTAATTTTTTATTTTTTTATTTTTTTGATTATTGTGCACATTAATGTTGTTCAAATGAATAATTTTTAAAAAAAAAAAAAAAAAAAAAACTTGAGGGTGAAATGTTTGAAGATTCAAGTTAATTCTTTTTAAAAAGAATAAATTAATAATTAAAAAAACAATGACAAAAAAAATTATAGACAGTATTTTTTTTATTTTTTAATTTTTTTATTTTTTTTTTATTTTTATTTTATTTTCTACTTGTTTTTTTGGGAGCCAAAAGAGATAAAGAGATAATAAATTACGCCTTTTTTTCTTTTTTTTTTTTTTTCTTTTTTTTTTTTTTTTTGTTTAAGTTTTGGAAATATAAAGTGAGTGTGATTAATTGTAAATACAAAATGGACACCAATCTTTTATAGGTTCAAAGAATAATACAAAATAATAAAGATTGGATATTTCTATTTTGTTTGAGAATTGTTTTGATCTGTTTTTTTTTCTTTTTTTTTTTTTTTTTTTTCTTTTTTCTTTGATTTTTTTTTTTTTTTTTTTTTTTTTTTTTTTTTTTTTTTTTAAAGCTATTATTTACATTTATAATTAAATATAACATATATTGTAAATTATTAGATGGTTTTGATTATTGGTGTTGTTATTTTGATTTTAAAATTTTTACTATTATGTTTGATTAAATTTTAAAATTTAATAGCTAGTATATTTATGAATTTAATGGAAAAAAGAAAAATTTGGTTGGAAATCCATTGTGCCAGTTGAGTCTGGGAAAGATTTTTGGGCGTTTGGATTATTTGGATCGCTTGGGTGAAGTCCTGGGACTCTTCCTAGATTACCTAAATTGCCAGCATTATTTAAACTATTAGTAAGATTATTGCTACCTGGTGTAGATGTTGTGGTTGTGGTTGTTGCACTACTATTATTATTGGTATTGGTATTGTTGTTATGATGATGATGGCTATTGGTATTACCACCCATGTTGTTATTGGTATTTTGATTGGAATTGTTGTTGTTGTTACTATTATTATTATTAGCGTTGTTATTGTTGTTGGTGTTGTTATTGTTGCTACTGTTGCTGTTATTGTTGTTGTTATTATTGCTGCTGTTGTTGTTGTTGTTGCTGTTGTTGTTGCTGCTGTTGTTGTTGCTATTGTTGCTGTTGTTGTTGTTGTTACTTAAAATACCATTACCAAGTATGCTATGAGTTGGTGAAGCAGATGGACTATCACCTTTTGCCTTAGGTGGTCTACCTCTCTTTTTTGGAGTACCATCTGTATTGCTGTCGGAGAATGATGTATTATTATAATCGGAACCATCATCATCCTTTGGTTTCTTAGGTCTGCCTCTCTTTTTATTGCTTCCTGGTTGTGGTACTGGTTTTGGTTGTGGATTACCTTCTTCATCCATCTTTGGTGGTCTACCTCTCTTTCTCTTTGGACCACTTGTGTCCTTTGGTTCTGATGGTGGATTTTTACGTGGACGACCTCTTGATCTTTTATCTCCTGAATTTGCTGATGATTGGGTTGGTGATGAATTGATACCTAAATTATTGTTATTATTACTATTATTGTTATTGTTATTGTTATTGCTATTATTATTATTAATATTATTATTAATATTATTATTATTATTATTGATATTATTATTTGGTTGAGGTAATGAAGATTGATTCTGAATTGCTACTATTAATAAAATTAATGAAGAAGGATCAATAATTAGTATTTAAAAAATATCAATAACCATATCAAACCAGTATTAGTGGACAATATTTTCAATGGTATAATTTATATTTACCTAAACTTAAACCATTTAAATTTGTTCCGTGCATTTGATTCATTTGTGGTTGACCACTATTATTACCGCTATTGTTTCCACCACTTCCCATCATGCTATGACCCATTAATCCTAAGCCATTTGGATTCATTAATGGTGGTGGAAGGGTTGTATGTAAATTATATTGTGGTTGTTGCATTTGTTGTGGTTGTTGTTGGTGCAAGTTTTGGATTGGTTGTTGCATTGTTTGTTGTGGTTGTTGTTGTTGTTGTGGTTGTTGCAATGGTTGACTCTGAATTCCGTGAAGTTGCGAAAGATTTGGTAAAGTGGGTGTGCTCATATCTTTTTTAATAAAAAAAAAAAAAATTAATATTGATTACTATTTCTTTTTTTTTTTTTGTTTTTTTTGTTTTTGTTTTTGTTTTATTTTCTAATTTTATTTTCTTTATTAATATTCTTTTTTTATTTATTTTTTTTTTTTAATTATTTTTTAAAATGATTTTTTCAAAAAAAAAAAATTTTTTTTTTTTTTTTTATTTTTATTTTAATTTTTTTTTTGAAAACAAGATAAATTTAGAATTTACGGTTTTTTGTGCAACCGTTATATTAAAAAATACGATGATCACCACCCCCCTTAAACGGCCATGATTGCCATTGTTACTTTTATTTTATTATTTTTTTTTTTTTTGTTGTTGATTTATTTTTTTATTTTATTTTATTAGGTAAAACCATTATCAATTTATTTATTTATTTTTATATGTGAATTTTTTTTAAAAAAAAAAATAAAAAATTAAAAAAAAAAACAAAAATGGACGAAATGTGTAAAAATTTTAAAAAAAAAAAAAGAAAATTTACTATAATCTTTTTTTTTTTTTTTTTTTTAATATTCTTTTTTTATAAATATATATATATATTAAAGACGAAAAAAAAATTTTAAAAAAAATTAAAAAAATAAAATTAAATAAACCACTAACCCTATTCAATTTTTTAATGCGATAATTAAAAAAAACTCTATATGAACAAGCTTGTTAATAAAGAAAATTGACTTTTACCAAGACAAATTATATATATATCGATAGATCTAAAAAAGTTATGATTTTTGGTACTTTTTTTAATATTTTTTGATGTCCTTGATATTTATTTATTTATTTATTTTATTATTTATATAATTATTTAAATAAAAAAAAATTGAAAAAAAATAAAAAAAAAAAAAATAAAAAAAATTAAAAAAAAATAAATTTAAAAATTCAAAAAAAATTAAAAAAAAAAAAAAAAAATAAAAAAAAATTTCAAAAAAAAAAAAAAAAAATTTGTGCGTATTAAAAAAAAATAAAATAAAAAATAAAAAAAAATAAAAATTCAATTTTCAAAATTTTTTACCGTTAACTGAAATTTTTTTACCGTTAAATTGAATTTTTATGTTTTTATATGTCATTGTTTATTTAAATTACAATTTTATTAAAAATACTAAAAAAAAAAAAAAAAAAAAAAATTGTGTGGATTAAATAAAAACAAAAGAGGTTTTTTTTTTATTTTTTTTTTATAATTTTTTTTTTTCCTGTCTTAGTTCAATAAAATTATTTGATGAATCCATTTTATTTTTATTATTAAGTTCACCATATTAATGAGATATCATTTCTTTTTATTTCTTGAAATCTTTATAATAATAATAAAAAAAAATTAGGAAAAAAAAAAAAAAAAAAAAAAAAAAAAAAATTATGATAATGATTTTTAATAAATTATTAAATTATTATTATTATTTTTTTATTTATTTTTTATAAAAATAATATATGATATAATGTTTACAATTTGAATTATTGAATAGTTACTGATATTGGTAATGATTTCCTAATTAAACTAACCAGGTAAATTTTTTAATTTTTAATAATTACAAAAGTTAAGTTCATTTCCATTTTTATATTTTTTTTTTTTTTTTCATTTTTTTTTAAAAATTTTCCCATAAAAAAACTTTCGTTTTTAAAAACTTTCAACAAAAATGAAAGTACTTTACAATGATAATGGGGTATTTTTAATTTTTGTTTGTAAAGTATTAGTTTGAAACCAATGTAATATTAAACAAATGGCACCACAATTATCAAAAGAATCTCTCCAATAAAACTTATATCATAAGAGAGAATAATATGGGAAGGTCTGAGTACGCGATAATCTCTAGGGGGGAAATTACAAACAATGTAATGGTCAGGTAACAGAAATGGACTAAGCTCATGCTCTAAAAAACAAAGACACCAAAACATCGAAAGATGCTAAGGTTGAGTTGACATGACAGAGGTTGGGAAAACTTGGCTGCGTATAAAATCAATGAAGTTAGATACATAGGATAGTTGGTTCTACCAACTACAACTTGATTCAGATTACTCTCAGACTGATACACAAGAAAAATTAAAATACCTTTTTTTTTTTTTTTTTTTTTGGTCAATTTCAAAAAATAATAAAAAAAAAAGTTTAATAAAACAATAAATTAAAATAAAATTAAAAATAAAATAAATTGATAACCTTTGTTCAGTATTTGTTTTTTTTTTTTTAAAAAAAAAAAAAAAAAATAAAAAATTTCATTTTTTTTATTTTTATTTTTCCCTTCAAGAAAATTATATTATAGTGTAAAATAGTAAAAAAGTATATCAAGAATGGCATGCACAGAAGAGGAGTTTACAGAATTACTTAGTGGTGAGGTATTCATTGATATGGATAAATTAATAGCGATATCAAGACATGGTATTCCTGATAAAGTTAGATCAGAAGTTTGGAAATATTTATTAGGAATATCAAAAACAGATAAATGTAATATATTATAAATAAATCATTTCAACTATTTTACATCAAAAAAAAAGAAAAAAAAAAAATACATTTTAATTAAACTTAATAATTATAATAACAGCAGAAGAGGAAAGAGTAAAAAAACAACAACAACAAGAGTATAAAGAGATTGATAAAAATGATTCAGAGATAACTAAAAAGATTAGAGCACATTTAAAGAGGTATCAAAATTTCAATAGGGATAAATCAGATACAAGAATTAAAATCGATTGGCAAAGTGTTGAAATTAGAAATAAAATTGAAAACATTATCATCTCTTATATCAATTATAACAATGACATAGAATATTCATTTGGTATGTTGGCAATTTTAGGTCCATTCATCTCTACCCTTCAAATTGAAAGTGATATATTCTTTTGTTATCTTGCTATGATGAAAAAAATTGAAGAAAATTTACAAATTGAAAGTTTAACTTTAAAATTATCAAGATTCATAATGTATTTTAGATCTGTATTACCTGAATTGTATGTATATTTATATGAAAAAAAAAGTCAATTAATTAATTAATCAATCAATCAATCAATCAATCAATCAATTAATTAATCAATTAATTAATCAATCAATCAATCAAAGGAATCAAAGAATCAATATAAAGAATTAATAATTAACAATTTAAATTTAAATTAAATTTTAAAGATTTAGTCATTTCGAAGAGGAAGAGATTAACAGTAATGATTGGGTAACAAGTTGGATTCAAAATTTTTTATCGTGTGAGTTACCAATTGAATGTACACTTAGATTATGGGATACCTATTTATCTGGTAGATTAGGTTTAGATTTACATGTTTATGTTTGTTTAGCTATTTTAACAAACTTTTCTGAAGAGTTGTTAGAATTGGAGCATAGTGAAATCTTATCTTTTCTTCAACATTTACCTGGTATTGATATTGATCAAATCATTGCTCAAGCTTATAATATATTTGATGATATTAGAGCTAATAATGAGTTATAAATAATAAAATAAATCAAATTTTTTATTTTTTTTTTAAAAAAAAGTTATTGTTAACAAACTACTACATATTAACCCAATTAAAATATTTTTTTTTTTTTCAGTGTGGAAAATAATACAAAGTTTTTATTTAATAAAGATCAATCGATATATAAAAAAAAAAAAAATAATTAATTAAATATATATTTTTAGATTAGTTCATTCTTAAATAAGAACCAGGAGCAAAACCATAAACACCATTTAATTCACCTTCCCACCATTCACCTTCAGATTTATGAATAGTAATGATATCACCAGCTCTAAATGATAATTCAGAACTATCAACACCAGCGAAATCATAGAGTGCAGTAGCGGATGAACTACCACCATATGAAGGTGGTGGGGCAGATGCACCACCGTATGGATTTGGTGTTGACTTTTGTAAATTCAAGGTTGAAGGATTTGGTGATTGATGAATATCTTTATCAACTGAAGAGAATTGTTGTTGATCTTGGGCACTTGGTTTCATCTTTATAGAAGCATTACTCTTAAATACTGGATCTGATCTTAAATTAGTTGATGCTGCTGATCTCTCTACACTTGTAATTACTGGTTGATGATCTCTACCTGAATATTCATCAACATGTTTTGTAAATGATGGTAATGGACTCCATTCATATGAAATTTTGTTATGAAGCTCTGATTGATATTTTACCAACTTTTTTAAAAATAAAATAAAATACAATATATATTAATATATTAATAGTTTTTCAATTTTTTTTTTTTTTTTTTTTTTAAAAAAAAAATAAAAACTTACAGAGGCAACTAAATAATTTATAAAAATATATTTATCATCATTTAATCTTGGTAAATCATTTAATAATTCTTCATGTAATGAATCATAACCTTCTTTACAAATTCTAAATTTCTCTTCTGTTGGGGCTAATTTAGCTTTTGAAGAGGAACCAGCACCTTTTTCACGAAGTTTACCAACTTCATTTTTATAACGATCCATATCGACTTTACGAGTTGTTAACTCTTCAGTACGTTTACGTGCTTCTTTGTATTGAGAGATATAATCTGCTAATGGTTTTGTGTATGGTTCATTCATTTGATCGGTGTAGTCTAATAAATGTTTATCGTTATTGGTTGCAACATCTCTAAGTTTGCTACCTGGTGTCCACATTGGATCTTGTGTATCATAGAGATCACAAGCATCTTGAGCAATATCTGTGGTAATCTTATTTAACTCTTTATATAACTCCACCAATTTTTTTGAATTCTTTTGAATCTTTACTAAACGTTCCTCTGTTGAAAATGTTCTCTCCTTTTCATAATGATATTGCACATCGATTGTCTCTTCACTATGACCTGTCTTTGTGAATAACATTTGACGTGTTCTTGCAAATTGTGTTGAAATTTTATTTGCCATCTTTTTATTTTATACTTTACTTTTTTTTTTTTTACCTTTTTTTTTTTTTTTACTTTTTTTTTTTATTGTATTATTATTATTATTATTTTTTTAGTAATACTTTTGTTGGTTGTACTTTTATTAATGTAGATATTCCCTGTTGTATGGTTTTTTTTTTTTTTTTTTTATTTTTTTTTTTTTTTTTTTTTTTTTTTTAAATTAAAAAAAAAAAAAAAAAAAAATTAAAAAAAATAAAATTAAAAAAAGAAAATTAAAAAAAAAGAAAATTAAAAAAAAAAAAAAATTATTTTGAAAAAAAAAATATTAATTTTTATCACGATTCATGTCAAAGATAATATGACCCTCACAAAGACTTCGTTTGCAGTTTTTTTTTTTTTTTTTTTTTTTTTTTTTTTTTTTTTTATTATTTATTTATTTATTACTTCTTTTCTCTTTTTTTAATTTTATAACTTTTTTTAGTATTCATTTTTATTATAATTTTTTTTTTTTTTTTTTGGAGTATGGTAATCAGATTTAAAAAAAAGAAATAATTATTATATTATAATTAATTTTTTTTTTTTTCAAAAAAAAAAAAAAAAGTTATTGATACTAAAAAGTTATGTTTAATTTATTTGAAAAAAAAAACTAAAATGAATTTTCTCATTGATAATTTTAAAGTAATTTTTCGAAATCAAGGTAACTGTTATCACTAGTGTTACAAATTGATTTAAATGAGACAACTAAATCACCATTAACAAATTTCCAAACCCAATATTCTGATTGTTTTGCATCAAATTTGAAAACAATTTTGGCCTAGTTGAAAGAAAAAATAAAAAATTAATTAGTATTATTATTTTAATTTCTGAAAAATCAAAAAAAAAAAAAATATGATTATATAATTTTAAAAATAATACAAACATTTGGAGCAATTTCTTGTAATGCTTCAAGTACCATTGAATCAGCAGATCTTTTTTCAAGATTATAACAAATATTTGTAATGATTTCACTAAAAATATCACCGATTCTATCTTGATAGGTTTTTTCAACATTTGGATAGACAGCTTCTAAGCTTGATTCATCATATGACCAATCCATTTTGGTTGCTTCTTTAGCTTTTTCCAATGCTTCAGTGAATTTTTCAGAATTCTCTTTAAGATTAATACGAGCTGGTAAAGAGAATACACCTGGTGATGGAATAATTTCAGCAAGTTTGAAGTATTTAACATCTGAAACATTGGCAATGCTTGGTTTAAAGTGTACTTTCAAATCACCATTAACAAATTCATAGGCCCAATATTGAGTGAATTTTTTATCTTCATTTGGTGCAACAATAATCTTTTGATTGGTATTTGCCTCTAATAATGCCTCTTTAATCATTTCATCCTTTGATTGCTCCGAAATACACTCAGCAATATTAGTAGCAACTTCTTTGTAGAAACATTCACCCAATGAATTTTGAACATATGAGTCTGTACATTTTGATGTAATAAGTTCAAAATCAAATTCAAATGTCCATTCAACTCCTAATGCTGATTTAACGGTTTCATGAGCATTTTTTAAATATTCTTCATTATCTCTTAATGATTTTCTTTGACCTATTTTATATATTTTTAAATTTTTTTTAAATTTTTTACTTTTAATAGCTTATTTTTTTTTATTATTTTTTTTTTTTTATTATATTTACTTAAAGGGAGAGGCATTTTATTGGTTTTTATATTAAATTAAAATTAAAGTAAATAATTTGATGTTGAATGAAAATAATTTTAATTTTTTTTTTGGTTTAAATACTAAAAAAAAAAAAAAAAACAAATAAATTAAAAATTGTACAAAAATGTTCATAGTTAAAATACCAATTTCAATCAGAAATAAAGCAGAATGATCATTATTTTATGATAATCTATTGATGAAAAGTGAAATCTAATAAAAAAAATCAAAAATATCTAAATATCTTAATAAATTAAATTTTATTATTAAATTTTACTGTTCTTTGAAATTTATTCTGTAAAACTAATTTTTTTTTTTTTTTTTTTTGGCTTTTTTTTTTTTTACTAACCGAAAAGAATGACCACTAAACTATGAACATTTTTGTACAATTTTTTATTTTATAGTTTATTATCTAAAATGTAAAGTAAAATAAAAATAAATAAAAACCCTTTACTTAATCACCCGATTTTTATTTTTTTTTTTTTTTTTTTTTTTTTTTTTTTGAAATAG